ATCCACTGGAAGGAATCCCAATATCTGCAGACGGATCCGTTTCGGCCTTAAAGGCCTCATCAGTGCAGCTAGGGTATAGACCCAAACGAAACGTTCGACCAGCTTAGGTAGGGCCCAAACTAGTCCCACGACCACTAATGATTACAGAGCCAATCCAAGGCAATATATATACACAGCCCAGGTGTGAATGCAAATAGTGGATACAAGCTATGTGGCTCGCTTCCAGTAGATACAGAGAATATTTTGTCATTCTTAACGCGTCCTACGAAATTCTTATGAGACAGCACTAGTGCGTGAATTTGTGAACAAGATCGGAGATCAAAAGATGCAATCTCTACCGTGCATCAATGGCGGCCCACTGGATCTCAATAGAGATTCTTAAATAATATATAAATTTTAAAAGGCAAATGGGAAAAACCCATAAAACAGCAAACGGCCACATGATGCAAAACTATTTAAAATTAAAACTATTTAAAACTAAAACTATCTATAATTAAAAATATATATATATATATATATATAATAAATCATCAAAGAAAGGTAAATACAGTGTTTAATAAAGGACAATAATACATCGCGTAGCATAGCTATGAGCGTTTTAGATGATATTACAAAGGAGGTGATGATAACAACGGTGTGGTTGATGGAGGCAATGATGATGAGTGGTTGTCATGGTGATAATGACCCACAGCATGGTGGAAATGGCAACAATGACAAACAATAACTGTTTATAAGATTGATTATCATTGGTGGTATCATACTTGTTTTTATTATTATTTTGACCATTAATATCATTAATATCCTTTTAATTTATGAATAACAGAAAGACGAAGATGAGGTAAGTGCAGGAGCAGCCTTGTCCGTTCAAGCTGCCTTGATGAGTCAGGAGGACAAGTAACCAATCAGATTCTTCAATGAATCAGGATCAACCAATCAGCTGTCCTGATAAATCAGAACAAGTTGTTGAGCCAATCATCTGTTTTGATTATTCAGGACTCAACCAATCAACAGCTCTGATTTATCAAGACAAGTAAGTTCCTCAATGAATCAGGATGAGAAGTTCAAAAAATTAGCTGTTCTGATAAATCAGAACAAGTTGCTCAGCCAATCAGCAGTCCGATTTATTAAGACAAGTAACTTACCAATCAGATTCCTCAATAATAAAGATAAGAAGCTCAACCAATCAGATGTTCTAATAAATCAGAACAAGTTGATGAGCCAATCAGCTGTTCTGATCATCCAGGACAAGTTTGCTCAACCATTCATCGGCTCTGATTTATCAAGACAAGAAACTTAACCAATCAACTGCTCCATAAGAAGTAGGAAAGTAGAGCTGCCAATCAGCTACTCCTGAAATTAGAGTTGCAACCAGTAAATTTATGCATGCTAAACTAATTCCTCCATGATTTATGGATGGAAAGTATCCAAAGATGCCCAGTCACACATTGTCACTAGATTAGCCAATGACCTCTCTACTTTAAATTTAATCACTATTCTTAATTACCAAGAACATACCTTTTAAATATTGTAAATATTTGTTAAATATATTATTCAATATTGTTTTATTTATTAATACCAAAACTCCCTTTGAAAGCAGAATATGTTTTGTTGAAATGTAATGATATTACGCAAATAGTATAGGCTCTGCTTCATCATCAGCGATGCTATGTCTTCGCTCTGGTTGGTATATCGGGATGTATAGTCGTAATCCATGCACTAGAAAAAAATGGTTGACATTTAGGAGCGTTCAGGGCATTAATAATTATGTGTGACCGTCCACAGCATGGTAAATGGTGCACCTACTTCCTGAGGTATTCCTACCAAGATCCCTTCACACGAATGAATACAAACCTCGCTAAAAGTCATTTCAATTTATACGTGATGCTACAGAGTGAATTATAAGAGTTTCTCTGTGAGAGATCTTCAATGTAATCTTATGAGATATTGAATAAATAAAATAAAAAAAAAAAAAATCACACAGACCATTGCTAAATTTCTCTAAAGTGTTATGGGGCCCGGTGATGTCTGCTCCACTTACGTGGATATCACATGGGATGCGTGCTAAACTTACAGAGATAGCAATTCATACAGATGTAATTTACCAGTTGGCCATTGTTTAATATTATTTCTCCTTTGAATCGAGTATAAGGAGTTAATTCCTTTCGATATTCTAGATAGCCCTCAGTTGCTCCAATTCCAGTATGAGGGAACTTTCAATTGCACGACGACGGTAGGACGTAGAAAATAATGACTTCACTAAACGTTAAGGTTACCTCGTCGAGCAGATTCTGGAATGCAATTTGGCAAAAACTATGTATGCAGAGAACGTATGATGCCAGGTAGGACGGTCACACATGAGTGATTTCGTTCTATGACACCTAGAGATCACGAGGGTCCTCTGCAGGTTGATAAATGCCACTTAAATCCTATAGTTTTAAGATTAAACAACGATAAATCGGATGATACTCAATTAGGCCCATGTGGCCGAATCTGTGAAAAACGACCATGTTAAAAATTGGCCAATTTTGGCAAAAACCATGAGCTATAGCCCATACTTTTTTTTGGACGATTTTTCTGATCCCTCCATTTTTCAGATGTTTTGTATTCCATGACACCTACAGATCACGAGGGTCCTCTGCAGGTTGATAAATGCCACTTAAAGCCTATAGTTTTAAGATTAAACAACGATAAATCGGATGATACTCAATTAGGCCCATGTGTCCGAATCTGTGAAAAACGACCATGTTAAAAATTGGCCAATTTTGGCAAAAACCATGAGCTATAGCCCATACTTTTTTTTGGACGATTTTTCTGACCCCTCCATTTTTCAGATGTTTTGTATTCCATGACACCTACAGATCACGAGGGTCCTCTGCAGGTTGATAAATGCCACTTAAAGCCTATAGTTTTAAGATTAAACAACGATAAATCGGATGATACTCAATTAGGCCCATGTGGCCGAATCTGTGAAAAACGACCATGTTAAAAATTGGCCAATTTTGGCAAAAACCATGAGCTATATATAGCCCATACTTTTTTTTAGACGATTTTTCTGACCCCTCCATTTTTCAAATATTTCCTATTCCATGAAACCTACAGATCTCAAGAGTCCTCTGCAGGTTGATAAATGCCACTTAAAGCCTATAGTTTTAAGATTAAACAACGATAAATCGGATGATACTCAATTAGGCCCATGTAGCCGAATCTGTGAAAAACAACCATGTTAAAAATTGGCCAATTTTGGCAAAAATATAGCCCATGCTTTTTTTTGGACGATTTTTCTGACCCCTCCATTTTTCAGATGTTTCGTATTCCATGACACCTACAGATCACGAGGGTCCTCTGCAGGTTGATAAATGCCACTTAAAGCCTATATTTAAGATTAAACAACGATAAATCGGATGATACTCAATTAGGCCCATGTAGCCGAATCTGGGAAAAACGACCATGTTAAAAATTGGCCAATTTTGGCAAAAACCATGAGCTATATATAGCCCATACTTTTTTTTGGACGATTTTTCTGACCCCTCCATTTTTGAGATGTTTCGTATTCCATGAAACCTACAGATCACAAGAGTCCTCTGCAGGTTGATAAATGCCACTTAAAGCCTATAGTTTTAAGATTAAACAACGATAAATCGGATGATACTCAATTAGGCCCATGTGGCCGAATCTATGAAAAACGACCATGTTAAAAATTGGCCAATTTTGGCAAAAACCATGAGCTATTGCCCATACTTTTTTTTGGACGACTTTTCTGACCCCTCCATTTTTCAGATGTTTCGTATTCCATGAAACCTATAGATCACAAGAGTCCTCTGCAAGTTGATAAATGCCACTTAAAGCCTATAGTTTTAAGATTAAACAACGATAAATCGGATGATACTCAATTAGGCCCATGTGGCCGAATCTGTGAAAAACGACAATGCTAAAAATTGGCCAATTTTGGCAAAAACCATGAGTTAGCCCATGCTTTTTTTGGACGATTTTTCTGACCCCTCCATTTTTCAGATATTTCCTATTCCATGAAACCTACAGATCACAAGAGTCCTCTGCAGGTTGATAAATGCCACTTAAAGCCTATAGTTTTAAGATTAAACAGCAAGGCAAAAGCAGCTTTCTTAGCTACGTTTTTTGTCCGCTGATCGGTTAAAAAACGTATTTCATTTTTATTTTATCACTGAAAAACGACTACAGTAAAATTTTTAGCCCATAAATATGATGTGTGTGAAGAAAACATTAAACAATATTTTAATTTGGACCTTCAAAAGCAGTTAAAAAGAAATTGCTATGAAATTTTAGGGGGGGGGGGGGCTAAAGCCTGTTTAGCCCCTAAATCCGCCTCTGTTTGCATAATTCGGCATAGACATAGCCACTATGTTTTTTAAATACTTTCCCTGCTTCTCATCTCATCTATTGTTCTCTTATTTTCCTCCCTTCTCTTTCAGTATTGTGTTTGGTCCTCATCTTAGGCTCTGTTTTCTCATTATCATTGTATTTTAAGGGTGACAGCAGGTTTTTCCTACAGGGGTCCGTTGTTCCCGACGGGCGACCCTTTGATGTCCCTGACGAAAAAGGTGGGCGTAGTCGGGCGTCGCTTAAAATCTCTCCTATTGCCGGAAAAAATGACGATTTAGTGGTTTCGAAGGCTTGTTTAATATGTAGAAAATACATATTTTTCTCCCTGACGAATTGTGGTTTTTCTCATCTGTCATCGACAATCCAATACTAGTTAGCTAGTAGAGCCATCAATTATTTGTTTATGGTGTTGTATCAGTTGAGTTTGAAGTGCTTCTAGAAAATACAATTTGGTTCATCAAAATTGACCTGCTAGATAAAACGTTAAATCAAATATAAATTTAAGATATATTTGTAGAAGACATGAGATTGTTTTTCACAAATATTTGGAAATGTACTATAGCATTCACTATGTTTACACATGTGAAACGCAACTAAAGGTAGGGCAAAACATCACTCGAATTAAATTTCCTTAAGCAAACACTATCGGTATATACAGGCATGCAGTTATGGTGGGCGGGGCCACCCAGCCTTGAAAATTTCCACCCAGTCCAACTGAGCTAATTTCATGGCAATCCACCTGCCTTTATTAACCCAATTTTCCATTCTTAAGATTCACTCTTATTATTTAGAGTTTGCCAATGTTGTCACCCACCCCACCCTTAAAATGTATGTCACCTATTAATTTTGATAACTATTTAATTGTGCAATTTGGACCCCATTGGAAATGGGCTGGATTCCCAGCCTAATGGGTGTTCTAGATGCTCGTTGTATTTGATTATTGTAAAAAATTCCTATATTGTATTTCTATATTTTATATTTTATATATGAGCATCGAATAAATTCAATTCAATTCAATTCAAGATTAGCACTTTTATATTGCACTCCGTGACAAAAGCACCAAACTTGGCAGGCAGAAACCTTCTTTTGGATCCAAATAACAATCTTAGAAATGGTGCCCAAAAATCCAAACAATTTAATGACGCCATTTTTAGAGCACGCCCATTTTTTGTATACTACATAAATATGTAAAAAAATAGCGGGTTCATATAAACATATCACGTTTGGTATAAAATTAAAGCTCATTTAATGGACATTGACCCAAACACCCTCAATGTATTATGTGGTGTCTATAGGCCATTAAAGGTCATTTTGGCTGTGCCCCTTTTTATATACATTATGTAAAATGTATGTGAAATTTAAATAAAAATCCTATTAGCATGTCAAATTTGATATCAAATTAAAGCTCATGACATGGACCACGGAAGAATTAGTTCAAACTTTCTTCCTTGTAACTTAATTAAGCTTTCCAGTAAATTTCATTCAGATCATTTAATCCATTTTTGAAATATCATATTATATCATAAATCATAGATTGCACCAGTAAAAGCAACACAAAGTTACTGTCACTAGCTCTCCTAGCAGCACATAATATACAAAAATACATACTGTAGGCCTAATACATTCTAGTATGAAAATAGATACTGTAGATATAAAGAAACCATCTCTCTAAAAGTTACTAAAGTAAGAACTTACAGTGCATATCCACACCATATAGTTAATCAGATCGTCATCAAAATTAATAATTCCTTTATTGGACCATGACAATCTAGTATCCTTTGATAGCTTTATATATATATATATATATATATACATATATACAACTGGATCGTTACTATAACGCAATGAACGATGTTACCTAGGCCAGGCCCATACGCAGGAGGGTCCGATGGGTGCGTGTGCACCACCCCCCCCCCCCAAAAAAAATTATCAAAGGTCCACATTTTTCGGGTAACCACCCACCAAATTGCCAAAGGTCCACATTTACCAGGTTAAAAGAATCAAGACACACTCCTACACGTTCAAAAATCCATTCATCTTGACCAATCTAGTTTCCAACTAGGACTGCCTCTAATTTGTCGTACTTAAGTAAGGACTTTTAACTGTATTTATAAGCTTTTTTAAGAATTTGAGTGCTGCCCCCCCCCCCCCCGCCGCTTGTATGTCAATAACTCGCCACGTACAAATCTTCTCTCTTTCAATAGTTCACTAAAATTATCTTTATTCATGTTAGTCTGT